TCTCAAAAAACAAAACAAAACAAAACAAAAAACAAACAAAAGAAAATAGTCAAAATTTATCACATGAATATGAACTTGTCAAAATGAAAAAGACAAGCAAGCAAATAAATTTATACATAAAACATTAAAAACTACTGCAATGTATCACAATTCATCAGAACAGGGACAGTGTTTGCATTTTTCCCATGAGTACTATTAGCAAGAAGCAGAAGATGTGGAGGTGAAAACTTGTTAGGGGCTAAAAATTAAAGGAGACTTTAAAGCATGGGAACTGTCACTACTTGTAGCTCACTTTGTGGCGTGTGGTAGGACACCGAGCTTAAAAGGATGTCTGAATCTTGGAAGGAACCCAGCAAAGATACCAGACTAATTTGGGAGATGAAGGGTATGTCTTCTGAGGAAAGGTTTAGAAGGGCTAGCATGCTTCAGTTTTAAAATAAGGCTGGTGAGTAGAGTTCTATTGATAGCCAGCAAGCCATCAGTATGAACTTGGACTTGGCACAAAAGAAACTCAAAGTCACAGTCAGGATTGCAAGAAGGCAGTTTCCTTTCTTTTTAATTTCAAACATAACAAGCCCAGGGACATGGTAAGCAATAGAGAGGGTGTTGGATTTTCCTAAATGAAATCTATTTGCGGATGGATTTAAGGGAAAAAATCTTCAGTTTTAATATCATTTATCAAAATGTTAGATTTAAAGAGCAACTGCTCATATTATCAGTTCAAAATGTAGTAGATAGAAATAGCATTGTCCTTAAACAATTCATCTAAAGTAGTTTCCCACACATGAGTGCATGGGAAAAATAATTTTCATAGAGATTGACAACATAAATGATAATACTAACTGAATACTAACTACATAGTACCTTATTAAAATGTGAATTAGCATTTCTATTAGGTAGAAATCAGTATTTTTCTCATTATTTATGGCTAAGTGTTATTTATTGTCAGAAAGGAACCTAATTCAGTGTCAATATCAGACAAAATAGATTTTATTTAAAAAAATTGTTTCAAGATAAAAAAACACTAGATATTAACAAATATATAACAATCGTGAACACAGCACTGAGCAGAATAACTCCAATATATGCAAAGCAAACTCTGACAGAATTAAAGGGAGAAACAGATAGTTCTGTAATAACCATGGAGACATTGACACCTCACTTTCAAAAATCAAAATATCCAGACAGAAGATAAGTCTCTCAGTATTCTATTGCAGTGAAGAGACACCATGACCAAGGCAATTCTTATGAATGAAAGCATTTAATTGGGGCTGACTTGTAGTTCAGAGGTTTAGTCCATTGTCATCATGGTGGGGAGCATGGCGGCATGCAGGCAGATATGATGCTGGAGGAGCTGAGAGTTCTGCATCCAAACCCACAGGTTGCAGGTAGAGAGAGAGCGTGAGACATAGGCCTGGCTTGGGCTTTTGAAACCTCAAAGCCCACCCCCTAGTGGCACACTTCCTCCAACAAGGCCACACTTCCTAATCCTTCTCAAGTAGGACCAATCCCTGATGAAAGCATTCAAAGGTAAGTGAGGAAATAAAAGGCTGAGCAATACTGTGTGCCAACTGTACCTACCCAACAAATACAGGATGCTCTATTAACAGCAATGAATGCACATTTTTCTCAGTAACACAGAGAACTCTTTTCAGGGTGGACCATGCATAAGATGAGAAAACAATTCTATTTTTTGCTGGGGGGCGATTTGAGACAGGATTTCTCTGTGTAGCTTTGGAGCCTGTCCTGAAACTTGCTTTGTATACCAAGCTGCCCTCCAACTCACAGAGGTCTGCCTGCCTCTGCCTCCTGAGTGCTGGGATTGAAGGTGTGCACCACCACTGCCCAGTGAGAAAACAATGCTTAAGAGTGGTTTTAAATTTTTAATTATGCATAGCTTTTCTGGCTACAATAAAATGAAACTGGAAAAGAACAAATAAGGAAAACTATAAAAATTATAAATGTCGAAATTAAATAACACTCTTTTTTTTTTTTAACAAATACAAATGGATTCTCTGCCAAGGCTCAAATCCAGATTGTTAGGTTTGGCAGCAGGCACCTTTACCCACTGAGCCATCTTGCTAACCCCTCTTTTTCTGTTTTAAAACAAGGATCTCTACTCTGGGTTTCTTCCAACACATTTTCTTAAATATTTTAATTTTTGTTCTTACTATTTAAAATAATCTTTCTGGTGTTTATGTTTATATTTGTTGTGTAAAATGGGAGTCTAAATCTGGTTGTTTTTCCTCTGGTTTAAGAGGGAGTCATGACAGTGTTGCTATCTTCCCATATTGTTGATCACAGTATTAATTGTGAACAGTACACACTGACATTAACTGACTGTTCATTAAAAGGGATCTAATCTAGACAATATGGCACACTGCACCAGGTAGAATTATTTAGCTTTAAGTGGGAGAGTATACACAGTAGGAAAAAATCCTTGCCAGCTATATTTCAGTCAGGGGTTAACGCCAAGGATACACTGAAATGATCCACTGAGACAGTTACTGACAACCACACTGATTAAGCCAGTTAAAAGTTTTGAGTCCTGATTTATTGATGGCCAGACTAAGAACAGGCAGGCTCATGCCTCAAATAAATCTCTCAGTGTCCAAGTTTAGGGACAATTTTAAAGACAAAGCTCACAGAGACCATAATTTATATCAAAGTTAGGTAAGGGTCAGAGTAACCTTGAATGGCAGAATATTAATTATTTCAGACATGAAATGACAATGTTTAAAACTTTTTTTTAAAGATTTTATTTATTTATTGATTGATTAACTGTTGCTGTGTGTGTGTGTGCTATGGTTAGATAACTTCCCCCTCAATAACACACACACACACACATACACATACACACACACACAAATTCAACAAAGCATTTAACCAAAGGAGAGGGGAGAGCCCAGTTGACCATTTTTCCTTCCCAGAGATTCTGCAAGTACCCATTTATCCTAATTTAAAATTTCACATTAATCATCTGGTAAACTGTGTGGTTGTTTATGTTGGAATTTGTCTATCCTTCAATTCTTTCAATAGCATTTTATCTTTATAGTGAAGTCCCTTGTTACCAAAAAGTTCTCCAGGTCATCAAATACTTTCTCCCAGGACTGCAGCATTTCCTGGCATGTGTTAGCTTCAGTAAAATGATCAGTGTATTAAAAGCCCACAGGGCCTCTGCTGGAGCCACTGATGGCACTGCAGCTCCTGGCGGCATGTGTGAAATCTGCCCATCACATAAACATTCTTCTGCAACACAACACTCTGCCCCTCTGTCCGTTTCACATGAAATGCTCAGAGCGCTGGGAATGCTGGGAAAGGGATCCTTTTTTAGGGCCTTCCACCACACCAACCATCACAATGCTAGAGCCATAGCAGACCTCTGAGGTTAGTTTTAAAATCCCTTATTTTATACAAGACAAATTTGAGGCACAGATTGGCCACCAGACTTCCTTATAGCAACGATTATGCTGAGCTGGATGATGTGGGGCCCATAAACAGAACCTCAGGATCTTACTTTAGACCCTGGGTGCTTTGACTAGGTTGTTGTGTGACTGGCATCCCCACAGTAGACACCAGGAAGCTCTTTCTTCCTCTTTTTTCTTCAAGCTCTGTCTAACTTAGTATTCAGAATAGGTCATTCTGTGGTTGACAGTAACGGGCTGTCATCTAAAAGCAAAGAGTATGTTGAAAAACAAGTGTTGTGTTCAGTAGAACTAGAGAGGGCTTTCTTTCCAGACTTTATTCACTGTGAGTGCTGTCTAGGCTGCCTCCCCCTCTTCCCACATAGCTAACTCATGATGCCATTGAGTGCTCAGTCGAGTTCCCATCCATATATGAAAACTTAACTTGGCACTGTGCTTGTTAGGACTAAGTCCAACCAGCTGTGCCTCAGCCACAAGGGAGATTAACCGAGACAATGTGACTGCTTTGGGACAAATTGTATCAAAAGCACACACCATTAAGGCATGCAGGTGGATGGCCTTAAGTATAAGCAGATTTTAGCCCTTGGTCTGAGGTACCATGCATATCGATAGGTAAAGCTAGGGATGCTGTTTAATGTAGCCCTTTGGCAGGTCAGGTTTCTCCTTTAGAGTTTCAGGGGAAAGTGACTAGGTCTGATATCTACTGAGACCTTCTTGGGTTAGGTTTTCTGTGCCCATTTGGCCATGTTTGTTTGTTTGTTATTTTTGTTTTTTGAGACAAGGTTTCTCTGTGTGTACCCTTGGCTATACTGGAACCTTCTCTGTAGACCAGGCTGCTTGAACTTACTGTGATGCGCCTGCCTCTGCCTCCCGAGTGCTGGGATTAATGGCATGCACCATCACCTCCCAGCCCATTTGCCATCTTGATAATCACCTTTTTGTTTGTTTCTGGAGTTCTGGCTAATCTTTACCCATGCCCCACATGTGTAGATATATAGATAGATATAGATATAGATATAGATATAGATATAGATATAGATACAGATATGTATTTTTTCCCACAAAGCTCCAGTTCTGGAACATTTTCATCATTGCCAGAAGGAGTCTTGCATTCATGAGCATTCAGTCCTAATTCTACTTCTCCTGGCCTGTGGCAATCACCAAGCTATTTCCCAATGCTATGCGTTTATCTATTCTGGATATTTCACAAAAATGGAATTTAATAACATGATCTTATAGCTGATTTCTTTCATTAGTATACGTTCTACCCACATCATAGCATATCTCCTTGCTTCATTCTTTTATATGCTTGTAATTTTTAAAAGAATATTTCTTGAAAAAATTGCATGTGCACTATATCCTTTAATAGACATCTTTGCTATTCTTGGTAGAAAAAAACCGAATTGGAATTCAGTTTGACTGATTAACATTAGTGTAGAAATACAATACAAAAATTTTAGTCTCAGTAATAAAGAAAGAAGGAAAATGAACAACTAACACGGGAATAAAAATGATCATCTTAATATACTATTTTTTTCTTTCAAGTATTAGTGAAAATGGAGAGAGAACCCAGGCTCATATAGTATGGTTTTCATTTATTTATTTTATCGCCCAGAAAACTCCGTGCACTGCTGAGTCGGCACAGGCATCTGTCCCTCGGACAGAAAAGAACAGGGGCGAGCACGAGGCTGCAGCCGAATTTAGAAAGTTAGAGGTGCTCGCATCTGCCACACGAGATGGACAGGAGATTCCTTCCAGCAGGCAAGGGAGCAGAGCACAGACAACAGATGTGAGAAAGGTCCCAGAGCTGTCAGGTTTCAGCATCCCTGTGCCGAAGAAGGGAGGCGCCAACATGATTGATGTCCGCAGGCTGTATAAAAACATTCGACATCTCCGCAGCTGCTCGTCACACTGACCCGCGCTGTCTCTCTGCTCTTCTTGGGGTTTCTGTCAACTGGTTCTGAAGGGAGAAAAAAAATCTTTGGAGACTAACCTTTTATTGTGGTCATGCCAGAACCCACTAAGAAAGAGGGTAAGAACATCCATAAATCTTCTTGTTATATTCCTTAATATTTATTTTGGTGCTTATTTTCAAACAATTATATGATTTTTTAAAACAACTATAACAGTAGACTTACTGGGATGCAAAGATAAAATTCTTGACTGTGAAAAAGCCAGAAGAAAAATGTAAGACTATATAATCAACTGAGAAATATCTGACAAAGTTAATAAAGCAATACTGAGACCAATGATTAAATGAAAATTCTACTCTTGGATTTTAAGAGGTCCTGAAAAGGCTTAAATCAAAGATATTAACTGCTTGTGGGGAGAAGGATGCATTTTCAAGCTCATTTTCCTACTTTGTTTCTTAAAATTTCCACCTTGTTTTCAGTGTGCAGGGTGGGGGTGGGATGCCTTCTCAAACACTTGAAATTTGGTCAAGTCTTCGAATAAGAATGCGTGATATTATTTGTGGTTTTACTATTTTTTTTCTCACAGGAAGGCATTTAAAATATACAAATGGATTTGATTGTAGCTTTGGGAGCTTGGCTTTGAAATTCTTTCTTGAAAAAGAAAATCTTTCTGATTATGACTGGCAGATTGAACCCCCTTCTGAGTTTTGCTATATACAAGTTCAAAATATGTAGCCTTAAAAAAAAATAAGAATAGAAGAGGAAGACAATTAAGGAATAGTCTTCATTAGAAGATTCCTTTCCATTCAAAGATCAGTATTTTAAAATTGCTAGTTAATAGTGTAAGCAAATCAGTGTCAGTGATTGTGAAAGTCACACAAATATACTACTAATTTTTAGTAGAAACATCTTTTATAACTACCACCTCATACTCTAGTTGCTCTTTAGATGGTATAAATCTTTCACCCTTTGCTAGCGATTACAGGGGAGAGGAACACCTTTGAGCTTCAAGACAAGTTTTGATGAGCCAAATTTTTGACAAGCCAAGTTTCTGATGCTTTGCTTCTTTGGGGCTAATACAAAATATAAATATTTAAATCAAATCAGTTTCATTGGGGCTTTTTAATCTTATTTTTTCTCTCTGCAGATAAACACATACTTGCATGCCCACACAGATACACACACAGAGAGAGAGAGAGAGAGAGAGAGAGAGAGAGAGAGAGAGATCAGCAGAGAACATAAAAATTATTTTAGGTTTTTCATTTCATTTTTAATCTTAAAAGTGTTTGCTACCATTATTTTAAAGAACTTTGCAAAAGATACCACACGTTGAACATGAAGTTGAGATACTAACCAAACGATGAAGTAGCTTTTAAGTATTTTTCTTTATGTAATTAGGTAGTCAGTGCTGACAGGTTGGGTGATCAGTTACAGGTTGGCCCTGCTTAGTGGCACAGAGCATTGATGGATGAAGTCTTCCTCCCAAAATAACCACACCAAATGCATGCATTAATATGGGAACTTAATCCCAACTGTGGGGAAGTGTGTCTAACCCCTGCTAAAGTGTCTTATTTGTGATGCAAATGATTTACATGTGCATTAAATATCTCTTTTATCCAGTGGGTCACTTGACTTGCCTCTTAGAGGCTTACTTGGATGAAATGTCTTTTAGGATTCCTAATTGAAAACAGAAGATTATTTTAATTATTATGAATTTCCTTTGTTATTTGACATCCCAACTGAAAATGACTAGAAAGCTGGAAGATTAATATGTAAGACTGTAGGCTGCAGGACCAATAAAGAGAATTAAATGGTTCTGCCTGCTGGATGCAGGGAAGTTTTGTGTTTGGCGTGGCAACTTGATCCATCTTATTCTACAGAGAATGAAATCATAGAGCTAGGAAAAAGACAATATATTTTTCTTTTTATATATTTTACACTGTGTATTTTATACATTTGAAATACAAATCCACATGAATACTAAGGTCTCCATGAGTTCCTTTTGCTATCAAAGTCCTTTTGATTTTCTATGTAGGAGTTCCTCCACCCAGGACAATAATTTTATATCCATAGATGCTTTGCTTAGTTTAAATTTGGATGGTGGGCAGTGGCATCCCAAAAGTGTCAGTGATATATTTAAAACCCATCGAGGAAGTACAAAAATTTCCTTATTTTAAATTCCCTTACCAGCAGAACTGATCATTAAATTGTCAAGTTTGCCTTCGTGAAACTGTTGCTTTTGACAATCACTGTCATTTACAACCCCAGAATGTGGTAATTCCTATGCTGTTCTGATCTGAAGCAGCTACATCCTGTAGATGATTTCATATTAACTATGGTTATCTTTGTTACATTGAAGTTGCCCTCTGAAAAACAGCACCAAGAATAAAGTGTGCCTTGCTTCAGAACTGCCTGTAGATACTCCTCCAGCCCTAGGGGATCTTTCTTCTCCTCATCACTTTCGAACACCATGCCCAGAAGGGTTGGACTACTTCTGTGAGCCTTGATAGGATCTGGCAAAGAGACTGAGTTTTCAGCCCCTAAAGGTGCAGAAGACGTCTCACTTAGATGCCTCCATCCCACAGTGGCCTAATTCTAGGAATGTCATGTTAGTTCTTCAGGGAGTGGGTCATTCTAAGGAAGAGAAAGACAGGTGCAGCTTTGGACCCCAAGGAGGAAGTCTAGTGCAAAGAACTAGTCTATATGAAGATATTTTGGCTATCTCAAGGACTCCATTTGGAAACAGAAAGCATCTTTTCCCTGGGTGGTGCTGAGGATCAAATCCAGGGCCTCATGTTGCTATCAAGCTGCATCCTTGCCCAGACCAGGAGTAACTACTTTCTGATGCCTTCTCTCCATTTCACCAGTTACATATGCATTCAGACAACTGTATTATTTTTCTACCTTACACTCTGTATTCATAGAGAATCTGAGGCTATTGTTTTTCTAATCAGATGGAAAGAGAAGATGCTGAGAGGAAGCTTCAGCCATTAGGAATTTCCCAGAGTGCCTTGCTAATGGATTCATTTATATATCAACTATTAATTAAGCACTACTGTTCTTCATTTCAGAGGGGTATATATGGTGGTTTCTTCAGGCCTTCAAGAAAAAAAATGCCACTCTGGGTCCTAACATGTAAGGAAATAACCTGCCGCTGGTTATTTTCTGTCAAAAAGAAACTATCAACATAAAATTAAAAATTTCAAAAATGTTACTTCTTGGGATATAATCCTTACTAGTTTAAAAATAATATGGGGTTGGTGAAGTGGCTCAGCAGGCAAAGGCACTTGCAACCAAGTCCAGCAACCTTAATTCCACCCATGAGATCTACCTGGTGAAAGGAGAGAATCAATTCCCTCAAGTCACCTTCTGACCTCCACATGCTCACAGTGGTACACAGACACAGACACATATGCATGCCTGCGTGCACACACACACACACACACACACACACACACGCAATGCACACGCACACGCACACGCACACACAGATGCACGCACACCAACACACACTAAATAAAATGTAATAAAATTTTAAAAGAATGCAAACGACCCTTAAACAAATAAAAAGTTGTTGAACCTCTGCAGCATGTAATGATGAAAGCCACAAGGCCTGGTCCTTAGAATCTGCATGTAATTGTTCACTGTTAGGTTCTCTGCAATCTTGAAAAATTCTTTTCTCATACTTTGAGGTGAGGTCTCAATTTGAATCTCACTTTTGTCATATCATGTATAGAGTGCTATTGTATTTTACATATGTAACTCATCAGAAGAAATCAATAGTTCCTTTTGGTCCTGTGAGTCGATCAAAATACCTGTTGGAGTCGTCGTAGTTTTCTCCTTTCTTGAACACAAAAGACAGAGGATAAGCACAGGATCACTTATGGCTGCAATTGTAAAGGCATATTCTGATAACTCCTGGAATCAAAACCATGGCTTTTCTGCGGCATCGATAGTCAATGTAAAGTACCCGCTATGTTTACTTGGGTCCTTTTCAGTGAAAGCAGGCAGGAACATGGTCACAGAGACATTTTACAGTCCAGAAGCCTTCCCCACTTCCTTTACCTTCCTGGTCCCTAGAACATCTTTATGTTCTATGGAATATAAAGACCAATGTGAAACTGAAGCGGCACCCTTCACCTCTTGCCTGTTTCTAAGCATGACTCTGGGCTTAGTCATCATCAGAAAGGAAGCACAGGCATGGGTGCCTCCCTCTCAGATTTACTCCTTGACCTTCAGTCCCCACAGCCACTGCACGGCTTAAAATGATAAATAGGAAACAAGATAGAAGAATAAAGGAGAAAGGAGGAGGTTTTTTATTTTTTTCCCCAAGAACAACTGTTTTCCTCCTAACTCTGCATGACCATGTAGGTCATATAAAAGACTCGGATGAGTGTACAAGCTATACTGTGAGGCGTGTTGTGGTGATACATGCCTATACCCCAACATTCAGGAGGCTGAAATAGGAGAACAGTGGCTCCAAGGCCAGTATGGGCTCCCAAGTAAGATGCTGTCTCAAACAAGATATGGAAATAACAAAAAGAAGATATATGAATGGGTACTATAGTATTACTCTACCCCACTCCACCCAACCTGCTCAGAAAGGGGTTGCCTTGATGTACTGGAGCTTCACGGTGCAGGCTGGGGCTGTCTGTGTATGAAGGAATGCTCTGGGGAAATACACCCTGGAGAGGCTCGATGCTTGGCAAAATTCTTCTCTCTCAGCGTCTGCTTTTATGATCAACGTATGCACCTGTCAGGGAGATAAATAAAGGACAGGGCAATTCTTTCCTCTCAAGCCCTCAAAAAAACACACTTTTAAAAACTACAGGAGAACAAGTTGTGTTCTTGCTTCTCATCCAGTCAGTCCAAAGAAGCCTCCCTCTTGCTTCCAAGGAATTTCAAATAGCAGGGAAGGCAAGAGTAAGGGATTGGTAAAATGGTCAAATGCTCTCTGCTTGTCTGGGAAGCTCGAGGGAAAGGAACCCTGTCAACCTGTCGAGGACTTAGGTTTTTCTCCATGGCTTGCTTTATTTTTGGCCTGAGACATGGCTCAGGCCTTGAAGGTTTTCATTTTTGTTTAAGTAGTGTCTCACTGTATAGCTCACACTGGCTTTGAATTCAACATCCTCTTTCCTCAGTCCCATCAGTATGTCTGCGTCATCTTTCCCAGGATTCAAATATTTGCTTTCAGGGTCCCTGGGCACATACAACTTACAGTGTTTCCTTACTGATAGCAACTTTAAAGTCCATTCATGTTGGAATAAGCTACCCAAACCGAAGTCACTTTCAAATCAAAGTCTCTGTGAAAACTTGAATGAAACAATCTTCTGCAATACTCTCAAAATTACGTCCTTTTAAATCTTAGGGATCTACAGGAAGAAGTAGCTGTGAAATTATTGCCATTGCTTTCACAGGTGTAGAAAACATGCTTGCTCCTTTTCCTTAAATTTCTTATGACTTTTATTTATTTATTTAGTTTTGGTTTTTCAAGACAGGGTTTCTCTTTGTAACAGCCCTGGCTGTCCTGGAACTTGCTTTGTAAACCAGTCTGGCCTCGAACTCACTGAGATCCTCTTGCCTCTGCCTCCCAAGTGCTGTTTTTTGGTTTTGGGTTTTTTTTTTTTTTTGGTTTGTTGTTTGTTTTTGTTTTTGTTTTTTGTTTTTGAAAACAGGGTTTCTCTGTAGCTTTGGAGGCTTTCCTGGAACTAGCTCTTGTAGACCAGGCTGGCCTCGAACTCACAGAGATCTTGCCTCTGTCTTCAGAGTGCTGGGATTAAAGGCATGCAGCACCACCAAGTGACTAGTTTATTTTAAAAAGTCTATTTAGAGTCCTTATGGACCTGTAAAGAAGACTCTATTATTATGAAACTTTTCCATTTTTACCTGAACTCCTTCCTAAGTACCTCTGTGAAGCCTCCAATAAGTGACATCAAGTACTCTTGTCCATCAGTGACTTCTGAGTTGACTCTAATGCTAGGCCACATCTCTAGATATACATGCACAAAAGCGTGTGTGTGTGTGTGTGTGTGTGTGTGTGTGTGTGTGTGTGTGTGTTAGATAACCAGTGTCAGTGTGAAAGTTCTAGCAATAAGGAATTACCCCTGTCTTGTCATCATTTGATGCCAGTTCTTGATAGATGAGCTTGTTTTGTTTTGTTTTGTTTTCCCTGAAGCCCTTTAGTTGATTCAGAGGGGAAGATAGTTACTGAATTGTGTGTTCTGAGTTAAGTAAGTTGTGAAGAATCTAGTTTTTATTCAAGAGCTATTTCCTCAAAATTGAGAACAGAACAGTGATTAACAAAGACCAAACAATGAAAAAGAACAATGAAAAAGGTACGTTGCCATTTCATTTCCCAGAGGCACCAATTTATTTCATAAACAGAGAGACTATGACCCCATAGGTGTTTTTTTTTTTTTTTAAATCAGACAGCCCCCCTTAATCAAAGTGATGATATTATCTTGCCCCAGCCAGGTCTGTTCTGGGTGGACAAGGTCAGCTTTAACTTACAGAGACTGCATTTGCACAGCCACATAGACACACAGCAAGCTGAATTTTAGGGTGTTCCCATTCATGGGGCAGAGCTCTTAAAGTCTCTACTTGTGCTTCCAGAGGCAGCCTTTAGATCTCCTTGGGACAGGCATGGGCTGACTGACTTGGCAGAGAGCAGATAAGGCTGCTTCCATCCCATGCGTATTTCTCTCTCTCTAAAATGAGTTCACCAGAAACTGGCTGTAATCTGACTTTCACTGTGCCTCTCAAGTTTAAATCCACTTTGATAAGACTTTTGCCCTTTTATGTCCCCCAAGAATCTTTTTGTAGGCAGTTTGGCACACGCATGTAATATCTAAAGTTACATTGCATGCCAGGCTTTAGGTCTTATGGTTTGTTTTGTTCACTTTTTGACTCGTGTTTATCTATTTAGGCTAAACACCTTTCATTTTCAAAATAACTCAAGTCTTCTCCAGACCTCTTCTTAAAACTCCTGAGGAACACTCTGCTAATATCTTTGCCTTTTATAAAATGTCACACAGTAGTCAATGTTCTATCTATATCAAAAGTTTACTTATTCACAATTTAGTTCATCATGTTTGTAGTTGGATGCCTTTAAATTGTCCTGTATATATCCAGCATTTCTTTATGCATATTAGATATTATTCTTACTAAACATTACTGTATGATACTCATGGAACATTCTAGCTAGCTTAAATACCTGCTGAACCATGTTCTAAGTTCCATATACTTCCTATGCCTCAGTTCTCCCACGTCTAAACTGTGATAAAAATAATACCTGATTCACAAGTCTTTGTAAAAATGAAAACAAATCAGGTAAAGTATCTGGAACAAGACCCGCCATATAGCAAGGCTGCAAGCAGTGAGCCCAGAACTGTGTAAGATATTACATACCATGTGTGTGGTAGAAGCTTTATATTTCCAACAGCATAGGCTGTGACAATGGCTGCTTCCTCCTAGCTTTTGTTAAGATTTATAACACATGACCAGATAAAGATTGTCTTTTGTTCTGCTTTAAGTGGGTTTTTTTGAAACAGGGTCTTGCTATGTAGCTTTAGTTATCCTGGTCCTTTCTGTAGAGCCCCTGGATAGTCTTGAACTTGGCAGTCCTGTTGTCTTTGTCTCTTGTAATCTGGGATTATAGGCAGGCAATGTCACATTGTTTGAGAGCAGGAATTATTATGATGACCATTATTGTCACCAGGAGTTTGCTCTTATTTTACTCAGTGAAACATCTTGGTTTTAATCCAATTCAGATAGAAAAGGCCTACACCCCAGGGTCTCTGTTGTATTCCCACTGAAATGTTTGGTATAGAGGGGTCTCCAGCTGTCAGAAAGAAAAAGACACTGAGCTATTTCTTTACTGCTCCATTGTGTGTGTTTGGGGGGGTGGAGTATGACCTTTCTCACTTAGATGAAAGTGTCACCTTGAATAGCTGAACTGTCCCCAACAGTTACGAATTGGTTTTGAGGGACCTTAGATTTCTCTACACAGAACTGCCTTCAGAGGTTGATCTTCCTGACTGAATTTCTCTCAGGTAAGTGCATAGAGACTTTACTGCATGTGTATGTGGTGGGTAACAAATTGAGTGTCATTGTGTTTATTGTTCTGTTTTTATGATCCCATCTGTTACCAGGACTTCCTTTCCTCTATTTTTAAAAAGTCACCCAAAGTAAGCCTTCTAGGCACTTGGGAAAAGACCTTGAAGGGGTTTATTCCATAATATCTGATTCCAAACAGGAGTCAATGATACAGACCCCAGGGGAAGGCATAGTAGGGAACTCTTTGTAGGGGCTCTGCAACATCCACTAAATCTTCTGTGCTGGGCCTGGGCCCTTCCCCATGTGTCCAGGGCCAGAGTGTATCCCTTTACGTGGGATGGGCTCTCAAAGTCCCTTCTTACACCAGGGAAAAATACCAATCTATTACCAGAGGCTCCCTGGAGTGCAGAGGCCTCTTCATTGACATCCATGTTCAGGGGTCTGGATCAGTCTGGTACTGGCCTCCCAGGCAGCATCTGGGGTTGATGTGCTCTCCCTTGTTCAGACCAACTGTTTCTGTGGGTTTCTCCAACCTGGTACAGACCCCTTCACT